TGTTATAGCGGAGACAAGTTTCATGGCATTACGTTCACGACATGTTGCAACGCAATGTATCGTGATAATATGCTGAGAGATCTATTTCTCGGCAAAATTAGACAGACATATACACATAGTTCTACATATATAAAAATTGTGTTGCGTAATGATGAGAGAGAATTCGATGTGTGAAAAATCATTGCGTAAGAATTTTCTTCTGGAATCGGTCGATCCAGAGAGAACTCCAGACTTTGTCTTTTAGCTCATGCAACTTTTATTACATGTGCTGAACTTTTACAACCGTCTGACAATCGCCAAACGGCTCTGTATGTCAAAGTCTCTGGACTTGGATTGGCAGCGTCGTTTAATTTGCATATTTTTCTTACGAGGGGATGGACATCACGGCGCTTTTATGACGATTTATTCTCCACAACATCTCGCGGATGGTGTCGTGAATGAAACGTCAACGGAAATAACCGCGCGATAGCACAACGTCTAAACTTTATGTCGTAATTCACGACATTCTTCCTTCGTTTTCCATCCTTCTCACGTCATCAAGTAATCTTGCGTACGTCTCTTTATTTTCATGGTTTATTCGTATATACAAATTATTTCTTCTCCCTCTGTTTATTTCTTCGTTTCTTAAAAAATTATGTACCGTTATCATCATCACTAAATGTTTGTAAAAATATTAAGAAACTGCATGTATTAGATATGAAAAAAAGAAGAAATCATCGCAACGTCGTGGTACATTTATAAATACGTACGCTTTCGTGCATTTATTATACGAAAGGTGCGGTTTCATTAGCATTCATAACACGTACGTGAGGGAGACCACTGTCGTTCAAGAAATTTCTCCGTATTTTGGAACCTGCAAAGCATTGAACAACACTCATTAGTAAGACGAGTTTTAACTTTTGCAATTAATAATATAATATAAAATTCAAACAAATATAAGATTTAAACGATAAATAAAACGATTTTTATTTTTATTATTATATATTGTAATTATAATAAGATATACTTAGAATTTGTTTTTATTACACGTTTCTGGTAGCAATATTGTTATATTTATTGTAAATTCTTTATTTTTTTCTC